TGCCTGTTGTATAGATTCTGGACTGCTTTGGTTCCATAGTCTTTCCGCTGCGGTCACTGCAGCCAACGTGAAGTTAGGATGTCTCAGGGAGATGTCAGAGGTCTTAGATTTCAAAAGCCCCAATCCATGAGGGCATTATGAGGTCCAGGAGAGGGGAGGCAGATGCCGAGTTCAGGAGGGCACAGACCCGTGGTAGGATATGGCTTCCTTGAGATCCACTGAGGAAAGGGTATTTTCTCCAGGGATCCAGAGGTAGAAGATTCCAGTGTCTCTCAAGGTGAGTGGAGGAGACTCGAGATTGGAAGGCATCGGTGCCTGGTGGTCTGTGTATGTATAGGCTGGTCTCTCGCTTTTTCTGAAACTAGGCTCTTCCTTGCCAGGGCCCCTAGGCAGCCTGAACTGAGGAGGGAGGACCCAGAAAGCAGGGCTGACTAGGACCTCTCAGGATCAGAGCCAAGTTTAGAGAGAACCAAAATGTAGCGTTTCTCAGTCCACAGGGGCAAGGCTGTAACTCATACCACATTGTAACAATGGGTTCCTGGAACACGTCTGAGTCTGACTCATGTTTCCTTTTCATTCTGACACTTGAGGTCTTGTGTCGTGCCTCAAAGGAGTCAATCTTGATTAAGACCTAGTCCTGAAGGTTTGGGCAGGAGGTGGCATCTACCCATGGCATGGCATCTACTCCATGGTGATGGCCCTGATTGTAAGAGGCTTAGAGGGGCAGAGACACTGGTCCTGGGGGTGAATGAAAACAAGAAAGAGAAAGTGATGGGACGTGCTGTTACCTGCAGGAGGAAACCCAGTCTTCCTCAGGTCTACTCCCAGCTTTAGATGGCCAGGTGTAGGGCAGACCCACCATGTCACTTCCTGTTAGGTCTAGGGCAGACATATCATGTCACTTTCTCTTTCTCCTGGAGATTCAGATGTGTGACTGATGTCACCTTTCATCTTATGCAGTCAAGACCCCCACCCCTCACCCCACCCCCATGATCTATGAATGATAGTTCTGGGAAGCTCCACATATGGCCACAAACCACCTATGTGCTGGTCAGGATTCCCATGGTGATTAGACTGGAGGGGTCCTGTGCTGGCACTGACGTACATCCCTGCCTCATAATCCAGATTCAAGTCCTGGTTCAAATCCACTTCCTACAGTTCTTTTAGACTTATTATTCTATGTGCGTGTGTGTGTGTGTGTGTGTGTGTGTGTGTGTGTGTGTGCGTGCGTGCATGCGTGCATGTGCGCTGTGCATACAGGTTCTCAAGGAGGCCAGAAGAGGGTGTCGAAGCCCTGGAGCTGTGTTTACAGGCTGGAATGAACTGCCTGATGTGGGTGTTGGTGTCCAAACCTCTTTTGGAGCAGCAAGTGCTCTGATCTGCTGAGCCATCTCTCCAGCCCACCTTCTCCTGTCCTGAACATTTCTAGGCCAGGCAGCTTGCTTGAGGTCTGGTTTCCTGCCTGGGTGACTGAGCGACCCATTTGGATGAACTCTTAAGAAAGGGACTATGGCATGTTTTTCTTTACTAGAGTGCTTCTGGCTATACAGTAATCTAATAATCATCCAAGGATTTTTTTTTTTGCATTTTTCAAAGAATTTTACTTATTTTTTATCGTTTGAGACTGAGGCTGGCCTTGAACTTGCTGTGTAGTCAAGGATAGTCTTTCTTTTTTCTTTTTATCTGTTTTATGAGTGTTTTATCTGCACATTTGTATGAGTGCTTGGTGTTCTCAGAGATCAGAGGAGAGTGTTGAATCTTCTGGAATGGAGTTACAGATGGTTGTGAGCCATGATGTGGGTGTCGGGAACAGAATCCAGGTCCTCTGTAAGAACAGCAAGTGCTCTGAACAGCTGAGCTCCTCTCCAGAGTGATATTAAATGCCTCGCTCTTTCTGCCTCTTCCCAAATTCTGGGAAGACAGGTGAGTGTCACCACACACGGTTTAAGCTCTGCTGGGCTGGGACCAAGGGCCTCATGTATGCTGGGCAAGCATGTTACCAACTGAGCCACATCCTTAGCTACCAGGTGGTTGAGAATCAACCACCCAAGGTCAGAGACAAACTCAGATCTCCCCAGCCCCCCTGTAGCTAGAATTTTCCTGGTCCTGCCTGGCCCAGGGTCAGGACAAATCTCTCTCACCTGCCAGTCCCGCAGCCGCTCAGACCCAACCAAGTAAACACACAGAGACTCATACTGCTTACAAACTGTATGGCTGTGGCAGGTTTCTTCCTATCTAGTTCTTTTATCTTAAATTAACCCATTTCTATTAATCTATAAGTTGCCACGTGGCTCGTGGCTTACTGGTACCTTACATCTCGCTTTTCATGGTGGCGGCTGGCAGCGTCTCTCTGCCTAAGACTTCCACTTGCCAGAATTCTCTTCTCTGCTAGTCCCGCCTATACTTCCTGCCTGGCTACTGGCCAATCAGTGTTTTATTTATGGATCAATCATCCACAGCACCCTCCTTTTCTTCTTCTTCAGTAATTACACAGTTGTATACACAGCTCTTCTTCTATGGAGTTCCTCATTTTACAAGCTGCTGATTATGAGGGGGGTCCATCCCCGGGGACCTTCAAGCCCACTCTGATCTGACCAGCTGCCTCATGTTGCCAGATGTGCTGGCTAGTTTTATGTCGACTTGACACAGGCTGGAGTCACTGGAAAGGAGGGAAGCTCAATGCAGAAAATGCCTCCAAAAGATCTGGCTCTAAGGCATTTTTGTAATTAGTGATTGATAGGGGACAACCCAGTCCATTGAGGGTGGTGTCATCCTAAGCTGGTGGTCCTGGGTTCTATAAGAAAGCAGGCATGTAAGCAGCAGCCCTCCATGGCCTCTGCATCAGTGCCTGTCTCCAGGTTCCTGCCCTGCTTCAGTTCCTGTTCTGGCTTCCTTCAGTGATGGACTACAATGTGGAAGTATAAGCCCAATAAACCCTTTCCTCCCCAACTTGCTTTTGGTTGTGATGTCTTGTCCTGGCCATAGAAACCCTGAGATACCAGGAGATCCCTGTGAGGCTCATGGACAGAGTTTGTAAGTTGGACTGGCTGCAGGAAACAAAGAGGTTCCTCAGTTCTGCCCACCCCTAAGAGCCTCTGCCTGCCTAGAAATAGCAGCTGGTTTCTCCCCAGCATTTGGGGACCTGAGGGTCGAGAGAGCCCTGCAATGTCAGGACAAAGTTGACCCCAGGGAGTGTGATGGTTAACTTTGGTTGTCAACTTGACAGGCTCTAGAACAGTGATTCTCAACCTGCCAGTCACGATTCCTATGGGGTCACGCAGCAGATATTTACATTACAATTCACAACAGCAGCAAAATTAAAGTTATGAAGTAGGAATGAATAATGTTCTAGTTGGGAGTCAGCATGACATGAGGAACTGTATTAAAGGGTCGCAACTTTAGGACTGTTGAGAACCACTCATCTAGGAGATTAACTACCTGGCATGTCTATGAGGAACTTTCAAGACTGGTTAAACAGAGGAAGAAAAACTGCCTTAAGTGTATGCAGCACTATCCTGTGGGCTGGGGCACCGGACTGAGAGCAGGAAGAAAGCCAGCCGAGCACCAGGATTTCTCACTCATGGCTTCCTGACTGTGGATTCCACGTAACCAGCTGCATCACGATCCCGCTGCCGTGGTGGACTGAACCCTTAGACTGTAGCCACAATAAATACAGTCCCCCGAGCTGCATCTTAACAGGCTGTTTGTTTGTTTTTCATTTCTGAGACAGGGTCTCATGCAGCCCAGACTGTCCTTGAACAGGCTGTGTAGTCAAGAGCTTCTCATCTTTCCATCTCCACCTCTAATTTCTGAGACAGCTGGTGCACACCTCCACACACAGTTTTATGCAATGCTGGGGACCAACCCCAGGGCCTGGTGCATGCTGGGCAAACACTCTCCAGTGGGACCTCATCCCAGTCCCTGACAGGTATGCTTATTATTAGAAAAGTCGCTAATGCATGGGTGAGGAAGTTCCCTGAGGCCTGTCTAGGTCCAGGACTTGGGTAGTGAGCCCCCTTTCACCTCCCTTTTGGATATTTATTCTCACCTTTGTGATCATGGGCCAGGGTCTCCCAGGAGAACCACTGAGTTCCCCTGTTCCACTGCAATTCTCTTGTGGATCTTTCCTCCACACTCAAAGCCCGGGACCGAGGCTGAGGCAGAGCAAGGATGCGAGCCCAGAACCATGGTTAGGCTGCAGGAGGGAGGTTGGGGGAGACATTATTCAGCTCTCTGGTCATGTGACTGAAGCCAGAAAGGACAGACTCTAGGGTTCCCGAAGCTTTCAAGCCCCCCCCCGCCAACTTTCTAGGAGTTTTTTCTCTAGTTGAAGGAGCCCTCTAGAACCTGTTGTCATGACAACTAGGACTGATTACCCCAGAAAAGAGTCTAGCAAATTCAAGCAGTCCTGACTGAAATTCTGGCCAACGCATAGTAAGTGGAGGCACCAGACGTGCTTCCCTTTTTAGCTCACTGAAGTGGGAACTGTTGGGCCAGCAAGATCACTCAGTGTGGAGAGGTGTTTGGGGCAGGCCCAGTGACCTGAGTTTGATCCCAAGTCCCACGTGGTGGCAGAAACACACTCTCTCTCTCTCTCTCTCTCTCTCTCTCTCTCTCTCTCTCTCTCTCTCTCACACACACACACACACACACACACACACACAAATACATTATATTAAAATGAGAATGCTTTGCAGGTAGACAGCAACCTCTTTACTTTTGCTCGAGGCTTCTGTGACTTCCTGGGGGTGGGGGTGGGGGAGGGTGGGGCACAGCAATTGGCTTTCTGTGATTTTCCCATCATGCACTAGTGGATGCTAGTGCTTCAGTGTCAGGCTCAGGGGTCCTCATCCTGAGTGTGGCTGCACAACCAGGATACTCCAAATCCCTGGGGCTCAGATGAGATTTTCCATGCCTGATGCAGGACCTGCTGCTGTCCACCTCACAGACCCACCTCCAAGGGGCTTCTTCCTGGGCGGCAAACCAACCCCGTGGGCCGAGCTTCCGGGCCACTCTTTATTGAGCTCTTATTAGACCACTCACATAAATACATAGAATAAATACAAAACCAGCACTTTTGGGAAGTCTTTGCTTTGAAGAGCGCCCTTCCCTGTGTTCTGGGCTCACTTCCACACGTGCACGTGGGTCCCTGTGTTCCCCTGCATCCGTCAGCGGTCCCTCGGGGCCCAGCAGCCCTGGCAGAGGCCCGGGGAAGGAACTCACACATAATCGTTCAACCTGTACCCACTGTGCGAGGCTGAGGTCACCGAGGGGGCGTGGTTGTCCTTGTAGGCTGCTGGTGGGCGGTAGGCAGGGGCGGTGGCTGTGGTGGTGGCCCCAGCCCTGGACTGGGCCTGGTAGGGCCTGTAGGGGGCCTCATCCTGGCAGGACAAGCAGAGTAGGGTGCCCCCGATGAGAGACAGGGAGGAGGAGATGAAGCCCAGGTACAGGGCCTGGCCGATCTCGAACTTCATGCCGCTGGGCAGCAGCGGGTTGTAGAAATTCTGCACCACATCGTTCGTGGTCCAGGACACGGCCACCATGCACAGCAGGCCGGCCAGCAGGAAGAGCGCGCCCCCCAGCACCGCGAAGGTGGTCTTGGCGGGTGTGCCCTTGGCACAGCGAGTGCACTTCATGCCCACCACAGCGCAGGCGGAGGCCATGCCCGACAGCAGGCAGGAGATGACCATGAGTGCCCGGGCAGCTTGCAGGTCCCGGGGCAGCGCCAGCAGTGAGCGGTAGATCTGGCACTGGTAGATGCCCGTGCTGTGCCACACGCACTCCATCCACAGCCCCTTCAGGTAGGACACGGCAGTCAGGATGTTGGTACCCACGTGGGCCGTCCTCCGCCAGTGAGGCAGGATAGTGGTGATGAGCGTTCCCACCATGCCCAGGAAGCTAAGCAGGAAGCCCAGGAGCTGGACGGCTGTGCTGGCCATGGCCAAGGGGCCCCGCTAGCCGCGCCGGGCAGCGCCCAGGTCCCCAGGGGTGGGTCTGGTCCTCAGGTGCCCGCAGGAGGCCTAATAAAGCCGAGGAGGAGAGGGAGGGTGAGAAAGGGAACTGGGTTAAATATTATCTCGATGCACTTATTTCTGTCGCCCAAACACTTTTCCATAGGCAGCTGGTATGATAATTAACATGTCCTAAAAATAAAATGGTTTCGGGGACTTCACAGGGTGGACGGACAGATCTGGAAGAGAGAGATGCAGGTCTCAGCAGCCTGTGCTTCCTGGAGACCCCCAGGGAACTGCACTTCAGAGCCCCCATTCTGAATGTCTCCTGGGACCTACTCACGGGAAGCACGTGGAGGAAGTTCTGCCTTTTGTCTACCCTCCTCCGGTCTTTCTGTTACACCTGGACCTTCCTTCTGTTTGGTCAGTCATTGGAGGTGACAATGTTATCCACACAGCCTGGACTGACTGACACCTGTTAAGGTGTACCAGTTGTGACTGGGAGAAGAGCCTTGGGTGGCTGTGTCTCTAAGGCGGTGACTTTCTCAGGCACCCCAGAGGCAGGCCAGAGGCTGCTTTGGAATTCAGAGCCGATGTGACATCAAGGTTGCCGACTGCTGCCCAGGGACAGGTTTCCCAGGTGGCCAGGAGCTTAGGTTCTGTAACAGGGTGTCGCCCCCACCCGCCCGGTGTAGGGCCAGCTCTGCCTTGCTAGCCACAGAGGCAGCCCAGGGTGGGGAATTCCCTCAAGCAGAAGTCAGGTCAGTCCTCAGCTGCTCCAGGTGGCCCTCGGTGGGACTACACTGGGCTCCCCGGATGACCCCTGACCTCAAACTCTAGAGCCTGTCCAACCCTTCCTTGTGAAGTTACTCATTAAGTAAGGACCATAAGGAAAGCTCACCTGCCTGAGCCCACGGGCTTGGTGAGTGGACCAGTCTGGGGAGGTCTCAGTGTGTATTTATGGAAAGCAAGGAGGGCTAATTTTAGAAATCAGTAGGTTGCTATTTTTAATTTAAGGATTTTCTAATTTAAGACGTGTTAATGAGCCCCCTCCCCCCACCTCCAGCTTCCCTCTCTCCCATAGTGGCATCGGCTGCTGGCATCAAGCATTTCTTCCTGGCCTCGATCCTCACTTTAAGGCCATTCATTCTGTAGAAAACATATTAACTGAACAGCTCCCTGGAAACCTCGTGACTCTCCTCCCAAGCTGCTGCGGAAGGCATCACCTGCCCTGCTGTTTGCATAGGAAGGCAGGCAGGATGGTGGGCGGGACTGGCCCACCCAGGGCTGACTTGGGAGTTCCCTGTGGGCTACTGTTTTCCCCACAGGCATGTGTCTGCCTGTGGGAACATTTGCAAGGGAGGTGCAGGTCCAAGACAAAGGTTCTGAAAGCCCCCAGTGGGCCAGGTGGGCAGCGCAGCATCTGACAAGGTGAAGGCATTGGTGTGTGTGTGTGTGTGTGTCGGGGGGCTTCCCTGCACCCTAAAGAGTTTTAGAGATGGTTGTTACAGCCCCATACTTCCTATAACTTTAAGTTTCCTGTCAGCCTTGCAGGCATTGATAGTTTAAACTGACAGGACTTTCTAGGCCGTTCACGCGGTCTGTGAGAATCACTGATTCTCACGCAACCAGAACTAAACTGCATGATAGTGCCTACTGTGCTCATTCAGGACATCAGTGGGAGATGTCTCCCCCAAGTCAAACAGAAATGACATGTTGTAGTTTAACCCATGTCTGCACACGCGGGCAAAGAAAACACTTTTTCCAAACAAGAACGCTTGTGTTGGTTAGATGAAAACCATTTCAGGGTGCAGGACCTCAGACGTCATTTCTCAATCTGCAAGAGCCGCCAGATTCAGTGTAAAACACCGAAAGTCGCCTGGATCACAGGAATTCTAAGCCTTTCCCAGGAGGCATCATCCCACTACTCAGACTCTTTACAAATACAGACCAGGGCTCAGTGGGTAGAGGTGCTTGCTGCCAAGCCTGAGGGACCCGAGTTTGATCCCTGGGTTCCAAACGGTGGAAGGGACAGAACCAACCCTTCAAGTTGTCCCCAATCTCTATCTTCACGTCCCCCACATATGTGCACGTACATACATGCACAACATACTAAATGAATAATTTTTAAGAATGCAGATTGTCAACATTTTAAGATGAAATAACTGAATTTCAGTAAAAAAAAAACTGTTTTTATAGCTGTTCTTTTCCTAGTTGCATAGATATGCTAGGTTATTTTTCATTTTTCTAAAACCTGCCTTGTAAGAGCAAAGCCCTCTTAACCGCTGAGCCATCTCTCCAGGCCAAGATTAGCATCTTTATGAGAAGACAGAAGACACCTGAAGACTAAGAGAAAACATGCAAAGATTGGTGCAGAGTTTGGAGCGATGCATCTAGAAGCCCAGAATGTTCCAGATCCAGCAGCCCCTGGAAACTTGGACAGTTTTGGGACAGGCTGCCCCTCACAGCCCTCAGGAGGAGCACCTCTGAGGTCCCAGACTTCTAGAATCAATTTCTGTTCGTTAAGTGTCCCCAGCGACTCTCCCTTCCTCTAGTTACTCCCCCTCCCCAGCTACTCCCCTTCTTCCAGCTAATCCTCCCCCAGCTACTCCCTCTTCTTCCAACTACTCCCCCACTGCCCCCAGTTACTCCCCCTCCCCCAGCTACTCCCCTTCCTCCAGCTAATCCTCCTCCCCAGCTACTCCCTCTTCTTCCAACTACTCCCCCGTTGCCCCCAGTTACTCCCCCTCCCCAGCTACTTTCCTTCCTTCAGCTAATCCTCCCTCCAGCTACTCCCCCCTCTCCCCAGCACTGTCTACTTAGCCCAGGAAGTTAGAGAAAAACACACACCAAGTCTGATACAAGAGTGAGCCTCCTCCAGAGCAGAGTGCTGAAAGATCTGGTGGCTTTGTGTGGTCACTGCATTAAACAAAGCAGCGTCTACCTTCATGTCTCTAAATGTAGAAGATAGAAAAAGAGAAGAAAGATCTGGAAAATCTCCTGTAGATATGAAGTTCAAAGACAGGCTTTGTCAAAAAAACAGGCTTTGTCTAAGTGGCCCACACATGGTTCAAATGACTGGGCTTCTCCACATTAAATAATAATAATAATAATAATAATAATAATATTTAACCTAGGAAGAGCTTGAGGCTAAGGTGTGTTCAGCTTGCTGCCCGCACCCAACCACTGGCTGGCTGTCCTTCTTAGGTTGGTTGTCTGCTTTTCTTTCTCCTTTCTTAAAAAAAATTAATTATTAATTATGTGTATGTATGTGTGCCTGCACCGTGGTGTGTGTGTGTGTGTGTGTGTGTGTGTGTCTGTGTGTGTGAGTTTGTGTGTGAGTGTGCATGTGTGTTGCCTGTGGAGGTCAGAGGGGTTTGGATCCCCTGGAACTAGAGTTACAGTAAGAGCCACCTGCTACAGCTCCTGCAAGAACAGTAGGTGTTCTCAACCAGGCAGCCATCTTTCCAGTACCCCCCTCAATCCCCCGGACAGTGTCTGAATTACTGTCAGTTTTTCTTAAATCAACATGTCTTGGTTTCATAGATCATAAAAACCCAAATTTGGGGTTTGGGTCAGGTGTGGATAAGGTGACTCAGTGATCGCCCAGGCTTTGCCTTGGAAATGTAATAGAGCTCAGTGGGGCCCCCTTCAGTTAGGACCTAGATCAACACAGACATACAGCTGAGTGGGAGGGAGGGAGGGGAAGAGAAAACCCCAAACCAAGCCACAGGATACTGTCACGGCCGGATTGGAAACCTCCAGGGGTAAGACAGCACAGCTGGCCTGTGAGTTTTGTGAACCTCTGAAAGTTATCCATTTGAACATTGAACTGGGACATAGGGCCGCTGTAACAAATGTGGTGCATATGAAAATGTAAAGCAAAGATTTACCGATGCTAAATAAAACACTGTGGAGGCTGCTTCAACCCCGTTCTCCGAGACTGCATGTTGAGTCCAGGGACTCCTCAGGTGAAAGTGCTCAGTGTCCCTGGTACTTGGACCTTGTGCTTCCACCAATGGTGGATTCTTGAGCATCTACAATGTGCATTTTGTTATTCTCATTGAAAGGTGGGGAAATTCAAGTTCAAAGTCATTAAGTGACTGGGCTGAGCAAGGAGACCAAAGAGGAAAAGACTGTGACACTTGGGTGAGAGACACTGGAAGAGCTGTGACCAGGTGGGTGAGGCTGGCAGGGTGAGAGACAGATGGCCCTGGGCAACCAGACAATGGCTGGTGAAGACAGACAGTGATGGGATGATGAAGGATTGTGGCCATGGTGTTAGCTCTCTGGATGTCTAGACATCTGGTCCCAAGGCATCATTTATGTCCTTGTTACAGTGTTTTGGGTGACATTAACATTTAAAGCAATACGGGTTTCTTCCTTCCTTCCTTCCTTCCTTCCTTCCTTCCTTCCTTCCTTCCTTCCTTCCTTCC